CCCCAAAACCCCAAAACCCCAAAACCCCACTATAAATTACTCAATTGTAAGGTTATAATAAAATGGAATTAGAAGAAGAGCAGTCGCTGGATAAGAATGTGGAGATGCAAGAGTTTGTCCTTGCTGAGTTTAAGGTACAGAAAGATTACTTATGGTATTTCAAAAATAACTACAACCTGACTATTACCAACAAACGAGTGGTCCTTCTTTATGCAGGAGGTACTCTCGGAAATCTCAGAGACATCAAAAGAAGCATTAGTTACTCTAAAATCAAAGGCATTACTAAAACCTCACAAGAACCTCCGATTTGTTTTGTTCTTCACTGCCGAAAAATAGAGGATGAGCTTCTTTACTGAAATGAGGCACAAGAGTCCATTGAAGTTATTAAGGAAGCTTTTGCTAAATCATCACAAAAGAACCTACCTATCTTCTGTCAGTACACAGAAGACCTCACCCCTTGGACGACCACAATGAAGGATATCAAAATTGGTATCAATAGGATGCCTCTCAAAAAGGAAAGAATCAAGGATGAACGAGTTCTCACTGATGAAGAATCCTCTGAAGAAGACCAAGAAGAAAAAGAACTTGTAAATGAATTCTCTTTTATTAATAAGGAGGATACCTCTGAGCGTGAAGATACTTCTGATGATGAAGACACTGATGAAGAGTGTCGAGAATCACAAAACTGGGAAATCATTGAGAGAGAGGAAGAAAATATGAAGGATGGAGAGTCAAAACTTATTTTTACCAGAAATACTAATGAAATTCAACCAGAAGATGACTCAAAGTCTCTTCGAGATTTTGAGGTTCTCAAGATGATAGATCAAGGCGCTTTTGGGAAAGTTTTTCTTGTTAGGAACAAGCATACCCAGAGTCTCTATGCTATGAAAAGGATAAGGAAAGACATCTTGATTGAAAGAAAACAGATTCAACATACCAAGAGCGAGAAGGGAATTTTGCTTAATATCGAGCATCCTTTCTTGCTTGGGATGGAGTTTGTCTTCCAAAATGATCTAAGAATATACTTTTTCCTTGATTATATCAAGGGAGGAAACTTATTCGATAGTCTAAGGTCTATCAAACGTTTCTCTGAAAAAGCAGTAAAGTTTATAGCTGCACAGCTTGTTTTAGCTATTGGATTTCTCCACAAAAATAAGATTGTTCATAGAGATCTAAAGCCAGAAAATGTTCTTATCGAAGAAAATGGGTATGTCAAATTAGCTGACTTTGGGGTATCTAAATTTTTGGAAAACGAAAACTCAACATACAGTTTTTGAGGAAGCAAAGAGTATATTGCTCCTGAAATGTGTCAGATGAAAGGACATAATTTTACGGTCGACTGGTGGACTCTTGGGATCCTCATATATGAGCTCACAGTAGGAAGGCCTCCATTTATGTCTAAGAAGAACAACAAGTTATGGAAAATAATTGAATCTCGTGAGGTAAGTTTTCCTGACCCAATCCGACATCAAATTGAAATTTCTGAGGATCTGAAAGACATTATTGTAAAACTATTGGATAAAAGTCCAAAGACAAGATTAGGAGTGAATGGATATGAAGAAATCTGAAATCACCCATGGTTTAAAAATATAGATTTCAATGCCTTAGAAAATAAACTACTTGATGCTCCATATAAACCGGATATAGAAAGGTTAATTAAGAACCCCCACAGCCGTGATTATGGTGAGTGTCCATTAAAACCAGAATTTATTAATCTAAATTTTATAACCCGCTGACTTTTGACATAGACCAGGCTGAAGAAATGGAAGACACAGAAACTATCTTGGATAAGGAGGCTAAATCTCTTATCAAAAACAATGCGAATAAATTTACTAATTTTTAACCTTCATCACCTACTTTTCAACCATTTTTAAGTGGTATGGGGTTTTGGGGTTTTGGGGTTTTGGGGTTTTGGGGTTTTGGGGTTTTGGGG